AAGTGCATGTGTGAGCAGGTGAGGTGACAAAATGGATTTTTTTTTTAAGCGATTGGTTAAAGTTCAGCATTCCAATGCAAGAGGTTAAGTAAAGCTCGGCTCACATCAGAAATGTTCTTTGAACAAATTTGTCATCATCTCTATGAGAAAGATTCTAATGAGAATGAATTCATGGGAGCTCACCTCTCAGTGACAGCAGGCAGGATGAAGAACATCCACAGGTGGATCCCCAGAACAAGGATCACCTGAAACAAAGCAAGGGCACCAGGTGAGCCACCAGGAGATGCTGGGAGGCGGAGGCTTCTAAAACATGAATACCCAGGTTAGGGATGGGCGGAACCAACCTGAAAGATGAGCTTTCCTAGAACCGCCTTGCGCAGGTACAGAGCTCTGTCGATGATCATGGTGCTGAACTGGATGAGGAGCATCACCAGGAAGGCTTCAGGCACCTGGTCCTCTGACAGAGAGGAGGCTATGTCCGCTGCAGCGCTATGTTTCTGAGGAGGACGGCAGAACAGTCAGGGTTAACTCTTCTTCATGCAAAAGGCAGGAGGAACCTTCTGTGCTTTTCAAATAAACTTCAGATGCTTGAATGCAAAAAATCTGAATAGCAAAATATATTTAAGACTTTTTTTTATTTAAATGTATTTCTTTACTCTAATAATATTGAATTATTTTCTTCATGTGAATAAAAAAGGTCTTAGTATGTCCCTAATGCTCTTCTGCAGTATGTGACTCAGATCAATGCAGCCAAGTGTGTAAAATCCGTAAAGAAGAATTAATCATTAGATTCATTAGAATACTTCTGGACATGTCTGAAAACTCAATTTATTTAACCCCTTCATGCCCAATACCAAAAATTGTATCACATATCTTTGCCGTCAACAAGTTGTTAAGTTAAATACTTGTTATTAATTTTTAACAGTCTAACAGTGACATAAGTTTGACAGCTTATCAGAGTGAGTTTAGGAATGAAGCTGATTAGTGACCCTAGGCGTTAATATTTTCAAAGCCAATATACCGATTGAATATATTAATATATATTTTTATTAATGCAGTTATATTGTATGAAATATTTTTGATTGTTCCTTCATCATTATTTATTTTCCAGGATTTCCAGTATTCATCAGATTCAGTTTAGCATAATGGAAATACACTCATCAGTACTACATTTGACTGATTTGTACTCCTACTCTACATATTGAGCATCTATACTGGAAAAAACATCCAGAAATAAATACAAATTTGTTAAATTAAGTGTATCTATCCTTAATTTGAGTAGGAAAATGAGATAGTTTACCAATTCAATGAGTATTTTTACTCCTAAAATACAGAGATGGGAAGTAACAAAGTACAAATACTTCGTTACTGTACTCAAGTAGATTTTTCTGATATTT